GCTAAATGACTAAATAAAAATAAATAAATAAAATAATGTCCAGTCCCTGGACAATAAACTCTGTGAACTGAGAGCGTGGATTTCTTTCTAGCGTGAGATCAGGGACTGCTCCATTATTTGCCTCACAGAAACCTGGATGTCTCGAAAGGTACCAGACTTTGCCATCGAACCCACGGGATTCTCTGTGCATTGCGCGGATAGAATACCGGATCTCTCAGGAAAAAGCAAAGGAGGAGGTGTATGCTTCATGATCAACAACTCATGGTGCGATCGGAAGAATGTACATCCTATACAATCTCTTTGTTCTCCTGATCTGGAATACCTCACGCTTCTGTGCTGGCCGTTTTGGTTACTGAGGGAATTCACAGCGGTCATCATTACAGCTGTTTACATCCCCCCTCAGGCTGACACAGATGCAGCACTCAAGGAACTGTATGGGCATTTATGAAAACAGGAGACCGTGCACCCTGACGCGTTTATTATAACCTGGGATTTCAACAAAGCCGATCTTAGGAGGATTGCACCAAAATTCTTCCAGCACATATCATGCAACACACGTGGAGATCGGATTCTGGACCACTGTTACTCCCCCTTCCAGAATACTTACAAGTCCCTCCCCCGCCCACCTCTAGGCAAATCAGATCACACTTCCGTCCTGCCTGCTTACAGGCAGAAGTTGAAACGGGAAACACCCGCCCTCAGGACGATTCAGCTTTGGTCGAACCAATCGAATTCTATGTTACAGGACTGTTTTGATTACGTCGACTGGGATATGTTCCGGGCTGCATCCAATGACGACATCGATGTTTACACAGACACCGTCACGTGCTTCATAAGGAAGTGCATAGAAGACATTGTACCAACCAAAAACAATCAGAACCTACCCGTATCAGAAACTGTGGATTAACGCTGATGTTCGCGCGGCTCTCAACGCTCAAACCTCTGCCTTTAATTCCGGTAATGGGGATGATTATAAGCAAGCCAGCTATGCCCTCCACAAAACCATCAAGACCGCAAAACGCCAATACAAAGATAAAATTGAAGCACTGTTCACCACTTCCAACTACAGAGACATGTGGCATGGACTCCACAACATCACGGACTACAAGGATCGCAAACACCCTGCTACAAACACTGCTTCCTCGCTGCCTGACGACCTCAACGTATTCTACGCTCGCTTCAAAGTCAGCAGCTCCTCCCCCACACAGAGCGCTCCCGTGGCCGAGACTGCTGAGGCTCGTCCACTCTCCGTGTCTGTTGTTGTCCCCCAATGTTTCAAAACATCCACCATTGTGCCAATACAAAAGACACCCAAAGCTTCTTGCTTGAATGACTGGCGCCCTGTTGCTCTGACTCCCATCATCAGTAAGTGCTTTGAGAAGCTTATCAGAGATCACATCTGCTCTGTATTACCAGCATTACTCGACCCACTGCAGTTTGCCTACCACAATAACCGCTCCACAGATGATGCAATTGCCTTCACCCTGCACACTGCCCTTTCCCATCTTGACAAGAGGAACACATATGTGAGAATGTTGTTTGTTGACTACAGCTCAGCGTTTAATACCATAGTGCCCTCTAAGCTTGTGGTGAAACTCCGGGCTCTGGGTCTGAACAGTTCTCTGTGCAGCTGGATCCTGAACTTCTTGACAGGCAGATGGCAGGTGGTCAGAGTTGGCAGCAACATCTCCTCCACGCTGACCCTCAACACTGGAGCCCCACAGGGCTCAGTCCACTGTTCTCAGTCCCCCCAGTCTCCCTGTACATGCATGACTGTGTAGCCACGCATAGCTCCAACGTCATCATCAAATTCGCAGATGACACAACGGTGGTAGGCCTGATCACCGATGTTCACTTCACCGAGGACCTCACCTGGACTACTCACACACAGTCAGTAGTGAAGAAAGCCCACCAGCATCTCTTCTTCCTCAGGCAGACTCCTGCCACCCGAGCCACGAACTCTTCTCACTGCTACCATCAGGCAGATGGAACCGCAGCATCAGGACCCAAACCAGCAGAACGCGAGACAGCTTCTTCTTGTAGGCCATCAGACTACTGAATTCCAGATAGCAAAATGATAATCACCCTACACACCAGCCACACTGACTCTGACAGCACTGTAGCATGTCTTGCACTGCATAGCATAGAACACATGCAGCTCCATCTTCTCTTCTGCACTAAGAAACTACTGCACTGAACTTCACAGTAAAACACTACAGTATACATCACTGTAAGTCATATATAAAAGCTATACATTTATACATTAAGTCTCTTGAGTATACTGTGTACTATGTGTATATTATGGAAATTTGTATATTGTGTACAATTGTCTATTGTATATTGTGAAAATGTGTATATTGTTATGTATACTGTTAATTTTTCATATCTTGTTGCTTGTACTGCCATGGCACAGAGTCTTGTACCCAAGAATTTCACCATCGTTACACTTGTGTACACGATGTGTGACAGTAAAGAGATTTTGAAATTTGAAATCAGCAGGACAGCAGTAATGGACAGTATGTAAAACCCATGCTTGGTCATAGTCTGGCTCAGCAGCCACATAAACCACATGAAATAAACAACAGTGACTAGGCAACTAACGTTAGGAAGATGTAGTTTTTTGTACCTGTACACTGGCATGTAGGGGAGGTAGCCTTTAAAGAATGGAGAGCTGCTGGTGATGGAGAAATATGTGAATTAACGTTAGCACTAGCAGAGTACTTCAGCTGCTAGAATACGCGGGGGACGTTTCATTCATACTCATGAAGCCGGAGGGCGCTCTCAAGCAGAAAGTACAAAACGGACTCATAGAAGTAATGTGACGTGCCAGGAATACCCTAATATGGACAAAGGCATGTATAATGGCATCCAGCGATCTCTGCTGTAGCTAAGGGGCTGTTCGCAAACTTATCTTCATCATTATATGGCAAACAAGAAAACGCAACAACACAATTTATTTTTATAGATAAAGTATTGTGATTATTGCCATAGAATTCACAATGATTAGGCTACCTTCTGAGGCAACTGACTGGGTGGGCCTGACTGACAGGTGGCATTATGTTGAGTGTCTTGAATGTTGGCTTTGACTCACACAGACATCAAGAATCAGCACATGAATCTGGTGGTAACAATCAACAAAAAGCTTGTTTTGTGATGATCAGAGCTGATCTGAATATTTTGTCGATTGTCACCATTGTTGAGGTTCATATGCAGATTCTTGATGTCTGTGACTCTACTTGCTCTTATCTAAATAATTTTTTCAAAATGATTTTCAAACCTTCAAAATATCACAGTAGGGCTACATTTCAAGCAGTAAATTTCTAAGACTACAACAAAATGAAATTAATCAATTTAACATACTCAGACATTAAATGTCTCTGTTGAGGCTAGTGCAGGGCTGTCCAAACTCGGTCCTGGAGGGCCGGTGTCCTGCAGAGTTTAGCTCCAACTTGCCTCAACACACCTGACTGCAAGTTTCTATGCCTAGTAAGAGCTTGATTAGCTGGTTCAGGTGTGTTTAATTAGGGTTGGAGCTAAACTCTGCAGGACAACGGCCCTCCAGGACCGAGTTTGGACAGCCCTGGGTTAGTGAATCAGGCCACTATACCAGGGGTAGGCAAGTTCGGTCCTAGAGAGCCGCAGTCCTGCGGAGTTCAGCTCCAACCCTACTCAGACACACCTGAACAAGCTAATCAATGTCTTCAGGATTACTAAGGCTATAGGCAGGTGAGTTTTTTTCAGGGTTGGTGCTGAACTCTGCAGGACTGTAGCTCTCAAGGACCGAACTTGCCTACCCCTGCACTATACGATGATAAGATTTTCATCAGTACGTAAACAACTTCATCTTATCAGAATCTTTCTCACAGGTTTAACTATAACAAATTTGCTTTAGAAACACACTGTTAAAGCAAGTTTGTAATAAGTGAAGATGCTGAGATCTAGAGAGATCTGTTAGTGTTCTTTTGGGATTTAAAGGGTTTCTGTTGTCTGTGTTTTGTGGGTCACCATTGTGCTGACGAGTAGAGTCTGTGCTTCAGTCCAGGAGAAGCTCAAGAAACATTGATGTTATACTGCATGTTGCTTTATTTAAAGGTAGTAACTATGTAATTGCTGATGCAGTGGTAGTTATTAGTTTTTGTGTGTGTGCTGTTGTTAACTGCTAAAAACTGTATGTTTCACGGTAATCCAGACAATACCTGTAAAGTAACAGTTAAAAAAAAAAACAATTAAGAAAAAAATAGGATGTTTTACCTTAATTTTTGGCAGAAGTGCCAGTCATTGACCATTTTTTTTAAAAACCTTCTTTAACCATTGTTTCCATTAATGGTAAACATTTGGCACACGCATTTCACTGTTTTTTACTTTTAATTTTTGTACAGTGTAGCTTAGCAAAAAAATCAGAGGTTGCAGTTCTGTGCCGTTTTAGCTCGTAACTTCACGAAACATGCATAGATCTTATAAAGCACAGAATTATTTTCAGCAAATTTTCCCGATTAAAAAGAGCCCACATTTTCCATAATCCGTCGATCAGATCGAAAGATTTCGTTCATAGAGCTGTAACACATGAAACCAGACAGGCTTGCACTGAGACGCAGCAGAATAAATAACTGTACTTTCACTTTGCGCTTTTATTTGTAACTTCATGAACCATAGATCATGGAAAATTGCACGTCATTATTTTCAGAAAATTCTCCCGATTAAAATATCCCAAACTCATCATAATTTGCTCATTAGATCTAAAGATATTCCTTATGATGTTATCACACACATTAAACCATTAAATTAAGAAATATATACACAGTAAAATCCTGAGTGTTAAATTAACACTGCCCGGAGCATATATGGTCCCACTCTAAAAGAGTGTTAAAGTAACACTGAAGCAGTGTTAAAGTTAATGAGATAATTATGTGATTAATTAAGTGCTGATTGATCATTAGTGATGAACACCTGCTGTTAACAAGCAAAATCGCTGAAGAAAAGAGAAACACAAGAACTACAACTGACTTCAGCCACAGCCTTAGATGAAATCAACTGAAATAGAAGACATTAAATCTCTCAAGATTTCAGTAGAAGATAATTAAACAAATCCACAAACAGCATCACCAGCTTCACGCATTACTAACCAGTTTGACTTTTTTTGTCATGCATCAAAAAATTTCTTATTAAAAATTAACAGAGGTTTAGATGTTAATGTTTATTGAAAAGAATACAGACTGAAGACACCATTGTGGAGATAAGCGTTTGCTTTAGTTGGGCTCTTGACCCTTGACTTTTTAACAATAGTTAGAAACAACAACTTTAACACTTTTTTTGAGTGGGACCATATATGTTCCGAGCAGTGTTGATTTTAATGTGTAGGTTATGCTTTCATTCATAACTTCATGAAACATGCATAGAGAATGGCATGTCATTATTTTCAGAAAATTCTCTGATTAAAATGAGCCCAGTCATGCCATAATCTGTCATTTAGATCTAAAGATATTTGTCATGGAGTTATAATACATAAAACCCCAAATGCACACATGCATAACTTTCTCGTGGATTTTACGCTTGTCATTTCATGAAACTTGCTGATCGGCATGCCGATCGTGGAAAATGACATATTATTTACAGCAGATTCTCAGGATTGAAATGAGTCCAAAATCAAAACAATCCATTGCGTCTTTCGTGTGTAAAAAATACCTAAACCCATGAATTGAAGAAATCAGTTGAGAGAGAGCTTTATTGAACACTTGGCAAGCAGAATGTAAAACCTAGAATATTTCTGTGCATTTTATCTTTTATATAACTTTTTTTTAATAATTAGGTATCAATTTAAAACTTAGAAAATTCAGCTTTCAAATGCATCCAACCATTTTGATCAGCTCCTAACCAGTGCTGCCTAGTTCCTCTAAACCGGAGTGTACCGCCAGCGGGCACCCCCTACCGAAGAAAAAAAAAATAATCATATTTTTCAAAATCACTGCATTGATCAACAGAAAATATGTGTCATTTGAAAGCTTGGAGTCTGACCTTTACAATGCATGTAGCCACTTTGATTAACTCCTAAGTAGTGCGGAGTTATTTGCGGATAAATAGAAAAAATGTTTTCATCATTTATGAAAAATGTTTTTTGTGCCATGTACTCTAATATGTCAGAAACATCATACAGGTCAGATAGTCATGTGTCATATTTCATTTGAAAGGTCTCATCGAGTAGAATAAAACAAGTATAATTGTTTGGGGCTTTGACTAAACTTGAGTGAGGCATTACTTCAAATTTAAAACAACAATTTCAAAACTGTAAAGGGCTAAGAGAAAGGCTACCTTGGTTCCAAATGCTGTAACTTTTGATTACTTCATGATATCACCACAAAATTCACCTACAGCACATATATTGGGGAACATCACCAAAAAAGAATTTTTCTCCTACCTTATTTCTTTCATGAGCTATTGAATGTCAAATAAGAATATGAAAAATTTCCCTTGACCACTCATTTTTCTTAAATTTTATCACCTATTTCTCAACATGAGAATATTCAAATGCAAAGATCCCCCCCCCCTTAAAAATATAGAAAATTTCTATCAAATGATACTTACCTTACCTACAGTCTTGGAGTTATGAGTCATTATTTTTGTGTATGGCACTCAAAAACAACAGTTTTTAAAATGCCTTCAGGGAGTCAAGAGCTAAACAAAAAGGCCTATTTTGTTACAAAATACTGTAATCTTTGGATACTTTATGCTATAACCACAAAATTTGAAACAAATACAGCTAACATGCTGGGAAACGTCATCAAAAAAATAATTTTCCTCCTACCTTATTTCTGTCCTGAGATATTGAATGTCAAATAAGACAGATATGAAAAATTTCTCTTGAACACTCAAATTTTTCTTACATTTTATCAGCTATTTCTCAGCAGGAGGATGTCCAAATGAAATAATTAACAATTAGATACCAACCTTTTGACTCTGCTTGCTCCAATCTTCGAGTTATGAGTCATTATTTTTGTGTATGTCACTCAAAAAACATCAACTTCAGTGAGGCAAAAATGCCCTCAGGGCTTAAAGGGTTAAACTTTTAATAAATCGATGTGAAATTTTATAAGTTTCATGATTCTAATTAATTAGACATGCTTTTTGATTAATAATATTTAATTTAACCATTAAAAAAAGAGTAAAAAAATATTTAAATGGAAAAAAAATGGAATTTTGGGAAAAAATAAAACAGATTTCACGGTGGAGACTCCCACCAGCGGACAGAGAGCGCGTGTCAGAAAATACAACAGATGTTTTCCTGAGGCTTTATGGATAATAATTTTGTTGGAAAACTGAGCAACAACAGGCAAAATTGTGTCTAAAATATAACAACATTAATTTGGAATTTATCTGTTGTGTAAAATCAATATCACATTTGCACTTAGGTGTCTTAATTGTGTTAATTTATAATCACATTATTTTTCCATAACGTGTCCTAATTAACAAATTGTCAGTTTAACCCTAAAAAGTGCAGCTTTCTGTCACAAATCGATCATTTTCTGTTACAATATCACTTCTATCACAAAACAGAAAAATACAAATACAAAAATATTTGGTAAAAATATGGAACCTTGACTGTCAGACCTTTCCATCGATATCTGTTTTGTCAAGATTACAAAAAATATATGATTTTCTAAAAACACAAGCCACAAAATCACAGAGTCTATACATATATGTTTTTGTATCTTACTCCTAAAAGGGCGACATATCCCCTGAGATACAAACATTTAGAGACAGATTACAAAAAAATGTAAGAATTTAATTCATAAAATTTCAATGTAAACCTGATATGCGAATGTTGAACAACAGCTTTTTAAACAGGCAAGTCCCCTCCAACATTTGTAAATATGTAAACTAGATCAACTTTTATTGGAGGGTGAGTAGATTTCCCACTACAGGTGGCCATGCGGGTTTAAATGCTTCCTGTGAGCTAAACAAAGAATGTATAAACAAAGTCACCTCATCTAAATATTCACAGCAAACACCCTTTCAAAATGAAACCAAGAAATAAGACCTACACTTTCACTGCTTCTCCCCACAGCTTCACAAATGTTTGTATTCCCAAGGATACGTGGCCCTTTTAGGGTTAATGTACATACTGGTAGTGATCTCAAAAATGTTTTTTAACTGTTTTACATTAAAACTAAATGCTGGTAATTTTTTTAAGCTGACAGAAAGGATATGGTAAAAGGATAACTAATAATTGGGTTGTCTTTGTAGTTGCCAACATTGATGAGACCTTGCACCCACACCCTCAGAAAAAAGGTGCCTCAATTCATCACGAATTGAGGCACCTTTTTTCTGGGCCAGAACACTTTCTCAGGAGAAAAGAAGTGTGGGCTCTTATTAGCGCAGAGGTAATGGTTTCACTTTATTTTGTTGGTCCCTTTAACACATTCTGTTGACTATAAGTAATGTTGCACCTACATATCTACTAGCTCTCTATTAGTAGACTGGTAGTCTACTAATGTCAATAAGTTGACATTTACTTGCAAAGTTAGGCTACTTATAGTCAGTAGAATGTCTGTTGGGACACCATCAGAATAAAGAGTTAGCATATATTAATCAGACAGTCTACTAATACTCTAATGAGAGTTTATTGACATGTAGGTGCAAAGTTACTTATTGTCAACAGAATGCTCAAAAGGGACCATCGAAAATAAAGTGTTACCGAGGTAACTGTTACCTACTTTGTCATGGAACATCTAGCACAAGACATTTTCTTTCTAACTGGATCTATTTTTTTAAGTCTTGTAAATTTTGTCATCTGCTTTTCTAGGATGAGAATCCCACCTTACCAGACAAAGCTGGCCCTAGTGAAACAAGAATTGTGTCTGCACTTAGAGGAACGCCTCCAGTCAGCCCTAAGGAATCCACTCCACTGATGAAAAAAGCCCAAAGAAGACCCTACGGCTTCTAGCTATATGACACTGCAAATTGAGATTATGGATTTTGAAACTTTTTATGTTTTCAGCCTTTAAACCATTTCGTAGACACACAGAGACATCAAGAATCAGCACATGAATCTCAACAATGGTGACAATCAAAAGCTTCATGCTGCAATGCATGCTGGGTACCAGCACAGGAAAAAAACTCATCCATGACTCCCAGCATGCATTGTGGCATGAATAAATTATGCCGCTGAATTGTCCACTTATTTTCTTTAATTCTTACTAGGTGCTTTTATTTTTGCTTTTGTGTTTGTGTTGAGTTTTAGTAGCGTGTTTTGTGATGTTCAGAGTCGATCTGTTTATACATTTTTTTATAAAGATTATAAAGACTCATACGCTGACTCTTCATGTGTGTTTCATAGCATGTTAGAACTTTTTTTTTTTTGAGTGATGTGTGTGATCTTTCATAACAGCCCGCTTGTTCTTTTGCTCTAATATGTTACCATAACATCGCTTTGGTACAAAAACAGACTCTGGACAAAATCAGTGAACCTGTTTTATAAAGATAGCAATGTCATTTGCGAACCATAACCAACACCATTACATAGTGTGCTGTGGTCTTCTTTTACCACAACAAATGTGTTGAAAACCACAATGGTTAAACCAGCCAAATAAAAATAATGTTAAAAAGTCAAGGTTCAAGATCCAAACTAAAGCAAACA